GCACATTACATTAAGGAAGTCGGAGTGGAAAGCAAAACAGAAGCTCAGAAAAGTGGTTGACCTGGGGGAAGTGACAGGGGAAGTGTTGGGGCTTCTGGGAACGGTTTAAGTTGTTTCCTATGGATACTAGTGGCTGAGCTGCGCCCCTAGGATCTGAAGGTTAAAATCTGACAAAACAGCCAACAGAAAGAATAGCTTTAGGGCTGGCAGGATGACTCAGTGCTTTAGGACTGGCAGGATGACTCAGTGCGTAGAGGAGCTTGTTGCCAAGCCTGACTACCTGAATTCAATTCCCAGGACCAACATGGTTTAAGGAAAGAACTGACTCCTGAAAATTGTGCATGTCTCAACCCCAATAAATAAATAAAATATAACAAAAACAAGACTCTCCTGGCTAGATAAGATACACTCTTTAAAACAGTAAATTCAGCCGGGGTCAAGTAAAGAAGACCACAGGGCAGAGATGGAGAGGATAAAGGCTCATCTTTAGGGCACTGTGGACATATGGGCACAAACTGACCTGGAAGCATTAGTTCCAGTTCTGTATTCAAATCCAGGGTCACTCCCCAGGGATCAGTTTTGTCTTCTGTAAAATGGAGACCTGTTCTAATCAGAGGCCTGCAGAGGCCTCTCCCAGCATAGAAATATCTGATTCTGACACATACTCTCAAAACAGCTTGAAAAAAGCGACACATTCCTGCCATCTTGTTTTTTAATGCTGGACCACTTTGATACTTGAGAAACAGACATCAGGATAAGTGGAGCCCATGAAATGAGAGGACTCTGCACTGGAAACAGTTGGAAGTGAGGGCTTCGGACATGCCTGGTTCTCCTGTTAACTGTTCCTGCTTGGAGGGCACTTTCTGGGTAGCCTCAAACTCAGAGATAAATGCCAGAAGGCTGAGCCAGGAGGGAAGCCTGCTTTCCCATGAGCCAGAACAGCTCCAAAAGGTTGTCAACTGTTCTAGTGTGTCTAGCTCTTTCCTATTTGCTGGTTGTTTATTTATTTGCGACAGGGTCTCCCTATAGCTCCAGCTGGCTTGAACTCACTATGTAGACCAGGCTGGCCTCGATCTCACAGAAATTCACATACATCTGCCTCCCAAGTGCTGGGACTAAAGGCGTGTGCCACCACGGTTGTCCTCTTTCCTTTTTAGAGTGGAGAAAGACATGAAGTTATTTAGAATCGCTCAATGGTACAACTAGGAGCTGACCTTAGCCATCATCAGTCCAACACTCCCAACATAGATGAAGAGAAAAACAGAGAGTGTCAGGATGCTCCTTAATATTAGCCTTGGATTGATCGTAGCTATCCCTGAAGTCAAGGGAACCAGATCACCAGAGCTCTTTGTGATAAAGAGGAAGAGGAGGAAGAGGAAGAGGAGGAGAAAAAGGAAGAAAAGGAGGTGGAGGAGGGAGAGGAAGAGGAGGTGGAAGAGGAAGAGGAGAGGGCGGCCAAGATGAAGCTGGAGGAAACTTGAAAGAGGAGGCGGGGAAGCCCCAGAGGTGTTTTACTGTGGTCTGATGGGGAGCCTGCTCAGGGACAGAGGACCCGAATTCCCCTTCAGTCCTTGTGGTCTGTCTTGGTTGCTACAAGGGCCCCCCAAAGGAAGCGGCCAGTTGACAGGCTTCACCGAGACAAACCTTACAGCTCGGAAGCCACCTGTCTTCCTGCGTTAAGCTTCAATGGTAAACTCAGCGTTCCCTCACACATCAGTCTTGAAGTAGACAGTGAAGCCTGTGTGTCTAAGTGTTTAAAAGCTCCTGTTGGGTCTCTTCATTCATTCCACAGGGGAAACTTGGTGACAGCATCACATCTACTTCCTTTCAAGGAAAGGGAGAAAGGCCTTTGGTTTTCTTCCTTTAGTGGTTTGGAAAGAGGTTTCAGTTAACACCAACTAGCAGGACTTGCTCTTTTTAATTTTTTTGCATTTTAAAATACATTAAAAATATTTTATTATTTTTTGTTTTATGTGTATGCATGTTTTGCCTGCATGTATGTAAGTGCACCCGTGTCGTGCAATGCCCTCAGAGGTCAGAAGAAGTGGTTGGATCCCCTGGAACTGGAGTTACGGACAGTTGTTAGCTGCCATGTGGGTGCTGGGATTCGAACCTGGGTCTTCTACAAGAACAACCAGTGTTCTAAACCGCTGAGCAATCTCTCCAGACCAAAATACATTTTTTAAAAAATTTATTTTTAGTTTATATGTATGTGTGTTTTCCCATATATAAGTGTCTTATGTGCATGCAATGCCCATGGAGGTCAGAACAGGGCATTGGAGCCCCTGAAACTGGAGTGACAGTTGTTTAGCCACCACCTGGGTACAGGGAGCCCATCCCGGGTCCTCTGCAAGAGTAGCCTGTTTAGCCACCACCTGGGCACTGGGAGCCCATCCCAGGTCCTCTGCAAGAGCAGCCTGTTTAGCCACAACCTGGGCGCTGGGAGCCCATCCCGGGTCCTCTGCAAGAGCAGCCTGTTTAGCCACCACCTGGGTACAGGGAGCCCATCCCAGGTCCTCTGCAAGAGCAGCCAGGGCTCTTCACCACTGAGTCATCTCTCTAGACCCTAACTTTTTATATTTTTATTTAGTGTGTGAGTGTATGTGCGTATACATGTCACATGCATGAATTCATGGGTGCCACACATGCTTGTAGAGCTCAGAGGACAACTTGCTGGAGTCACTTCTCTCTTTCCACCATGTGGGTCCTGAGAATCGAACTCAGGTCATCAGGCTTGGCAGCAAATTCCTTTACCCCTGAACCATCCCACCAGCCCCCATTACTTTTTCTTAAAGAACCACCACTAAGGCCTCTCCCGAGTCAGCTGCTTAGACAGCAGCTGGGTGCCAGGTGGAGACAGGGTCAATTGTTCCAGAGAAGTGAGGCAAGGCCTGTCTTGTGGACAGCTGCTAGAGGCTCAGATAGCTTCCCCTGGTGTCTGGAGCCGGTGCCTGTGTGTGGCAACTGCTCTATGTGACAACTGTCTGTGCTAGCCTAGGGAGTTGGGAAATCTGAAGTATTAAAACACTTTGAAGGACTCGCCTTCAAATCCTGTTCACAGGCAACACTGGATGCTGGAGTGGAATGAGGCTGAGTGGTGTGGGTGACATGCTCTGGAACCACAGCCACACATACCTCAGAGCATGTCTTTCCCTAGGCAGGGACATTTCCAAGACCTCTGTTAGAGCCATGGTTGTGTGAGAGATGTGCCATTTGAAGGAAACGCCAAGTGTCAGATGTTAGGGAACTATGGTGACTAAACGCCGAAGACTGTGATATCTATACACAACAGGAAGGCGATTCCTTCATATATATATGGGGGGGGGTGTTCATGTAGCCCAGGCTGGTTCACACTTTCTCTGTAGCCAAGGATGACCCTGAACTTCTGATCCTCCTGCCTGCACCACCCAAGTGCTAGAATTACATCACCATGCTTCATTCATGTGGTGTTGGCAATGGATCTCAGGGCTCCATGCATGCTTGGCAAGTACTCTACCTACTAAGCCCCAGTCCCAGTCTGTCTGCGCTGAATGTTTAAAGCTCCAGGAAAGCCAGGGCTGTGGGAAGAATACCACACTACTCTTTTTCTAATTCCTTTCCCTCCTTAAAACCCTAAACTGTCCACTGTGCTTTTTCCTGTCCTCTATTGTAAGTCGTCCTCTGACCTCCTCACTCAAGCTGAGGCACAAACACACCCCTCAAGTGAATAAATAAATGGGAAAAAGTCTTTCAAACATTTCTGTAACCTGTCTGACCCTGCACAGACCCTGAGACACCTGTGCTTTTTCCTGGCACTACTGTGGCTGCATGCACCTCTCCTTCTGGGGTCCGTTTGCGGCTTTGTGTGTCTCTGCAACAATTCTAGAGTAGAATTTCTGGGTGAGGGACGTGTGTGTTGAATGCAGTGAATAGGGCCTTTGACACTGTGGGCGGGGACCATCATTTGTCACCAGCACCCCTGGGGATCTCTGAGGTCTAAAGGGGTCACTATGAATACCCATGCTCCCACACACAGTTCAGTGGACCTTCGACTGGTCCGGAGTGGCATGGAGTGGCCAGTCTTGGGGCAGACACAGGGATGCTGAGAGTCTGAGTGATGAGGGGAAGCCTTAGTCCTGCTCAGCAGCGGTCTGAGGCCCTATTTGTACATCTGACCTAGTACAGGGCACTGAACAGAGCATGTTGAAGCCATCGGGTGTTCCCATACAGTCAACCCTCTCTTTCGCTTGGAGACATGCTCACCTGTCTGGGGAGGCTCACAGTCTTTTCACAGATGATCCTGGCCCTGGAAGGTGGGTCAGGCAATTCGTAGACTTGGGCAGTGGCTGATGGGGGCCCCTCCACCCAGCTCTTCATTGGTTCATACACCGGATCTAGGCGTGGTGGACGAAGCAGGGTGGGCGCCGGGTAGGCCACCTCTGAGCTGTTGAGATCTGTGTCCAGACCTCTCGGGAGCAATGGACAGGGTCTGTCTGTGGGGACCTCCTTGAGGATGTGGAGGCGGTTGGCGGGGGCCAGGCCTTCCCTCCCATGGAGCAAACACTTCCACCAGCCCTCGCTTTCCGGCACATTTTGCTCCACAATGGTCAGGATGTCTCCTCTGGAGAAAGCCAGCTCATCAGAACAATCAGGGTGGTTGTCATAAAGTGCCCTGGCCAGCAGAGTCTGGGGGAGAGAGTACACTGTTAGAATCATTGCCAAAGGTGCTCCTCTTCCAAGGCCGCCCAGAAACCTCAGTGCAACCACCCGAGCTGCTTCCTTCCCCTCGGAGGCTCTGGCCCAGCTTTTTTTTTTTTTGCCAGATTTATTCTTCCCATCCTTGGGGTTCTTGGTGACATCATACCCTCAGGGATGTTTTGCCTGCACTGTAAAAACCAAGACAAGTAACTCTAATAAAGCCCTTTCTTAAATTTATAGACGCGATTCCCCTTGTAATTATACATGAGTGCAGTGTGGTAAGATGGAGTTAGGTAAAAAATCCTGCGTATACCATGCCTTTGGGTTGAAATTCTTTAGCTGTATGTCCTTGAGTTTATTGGCAACCCTCTCTGAGTCTCTGTTTCCTTTTTCTAGAAAATTAGAATAACATTAATACCTATTAAAAGGGTTATTGCAAGAATTAAAAGTGTTTGTGTATATACTAATGTGTTTATGTGTGTGTGTGTGTGTGTGTGTAGGTATACATAAAATAAATAAATCAGATGGCTCAGCAGTTAAGAACACTGACTGTTCTTGTAGAAGACTCAGGTTCGAATCCCAGCACCCACATGGCATCTAACAACTGTCTGTAACTCTAGTCCCAGGGGACCCAACAGCCTCTTCTGTCCTCCATGGGCATTGCACGACTTGGGTGCACTTACCTACATGCAGGCAATATACTCATATACAAAATTTAAAAAATAAAAAATAAATAAATAAATAAATCCTCTTCCTTTGCTACTCTGTCCCCAGCATCAGGCTCAGACCCAGGTATATAGGAGGAACTCAACAGATGTTTGTTATCTGAGCATGAGGGCTCACACTACCAATTTCTATACTTGGGAGGCTGAGGCAGGAGGGTTGGGAGTTCAAGGCGTACTTGGGCAACTTAGTGACCTCTGTTTTGAAAAAATAATACAAACAAAGCTGGAGATGTAGTTCGGCGGTAGAAGGCTTGTCGGGCATGTGAGTAGCCCTGGGTTCCATCCCCAGTACTGAGTACTGGTATGGGAGGGGGGGCTAGGGAGGGGCCATGGGACCAGGAGGGTCTAGGAAGATTCCATCAATTTCTACCCTTTCCACCTGGAAGAGCTTCCCAGGTCTGTGTTCCCTGCTCTGCCTGGAATATATTTGTTTAAAAATCTTTGCCAAGGAAACTTGAAAAGTTTCATTTTAAAAATGTTTATTTTCATGTATGTGTGTATGTCTGTGAGTGAGTGCCACATGTATAAAGGTGCCCATAAAGATCAGAAGAGGTTGTCAGATCCCCTGGAGCTGGATTTACAGGCAGCAGTGAGCCACCCTGGCATGGGTGCTGGGAACCAAACCTAGATCCTCTGGAAAAGCAGGAAGTGCTCTTAACCAGAGTCATCTCTCTAGCCCCTGAAGTGCTTAAAAAAGAAAACTTTAGCTGGGAATGGTGGCAGATGCCTTTAATCCCAGCACTCGGGAGGCAGAGGCAGGCGGATCTCTGTGAGTTCAAGGCCAGCCTGGTCTACATAGTGAGTTCCAGGACAGCTGGGGCTACAGGGAGACCCTATCTCAAAAAAAAAAGAGAAAACTTTAAAAACGTATTTAATATTTTTATTTATGTGTACGTGCATGTGGCAGCATGGGTTTCTATATCATGTGCTGGTGGCTGTGGAGGCTAGGGGGCTTCGATACCCTGGATAGGAGTTTGTGATCTACCTGATGTGGGTGCTGGGAACTGAACCTGAATCCTCTGCAAGAACAGTAGGTGTTCTTAACCCTGAGCCGTGTGTCCAGCCCCTGAAATGCTTCTTAACCCACTCTTGGAAACACCCAGACTCCTCAGACTTCGAAGTCAGCAGCAACCTTGGTGGCTCTGTGAGTGGGTGACATCGGGGCACCTTGGGAAGTCGGCCACCTCCCTATTTTCTCCACCGTGAGTTGATTTTTATTTATTCATATATTTTTTTGAGACACAGTGTCCCTGCAGCCCAGGTTGGACTGGAACTCACTATGTAGACCAGGCTGGCCTCAATCTCACAGAGATCCGGCTGCCTGTGCCTTCCAAGTGCTGGGACTACAGCCGTACGCCACCACGCCCTGAATTTATTTTTTAAAATATTGTGTTTATTATTTTTTATGTGTATGGGTGTTTTGCCTGCATGTATGTAAGTGCACCTGTGTTGTGCAATGCCCATGGAGGTCAGAAAAGGGTGTCAGATTCCCTGGAACAGGAGTTACAGACGGTTGTTAGCTGCCACTTGGGTGTTTTTCCAGAGAACCCAGGACCTCTGGAAGAACAGTTACTGTTCTTAACTGCTTTCTATCTTTCCATCCCCCGACCTTGAATTTATTCTCACAGACAGGTAGGAAGTCCCGAAAAGTTACAAGCATGCTTGCAGAGATTTCCTCTCCCCTTGTGGTGAACCTCAAATCCTCACAGGGACTTTCACAATTAAGTGAAAGGTGGCATGACCCAACTGTGCCCATACCTTCAAGGCCCGTGTGATTTTGCATCATGTCCCGCACTTTCTCCTCACCTCCCACAATCACCATTCTTGGGGGGGTTTAGTCTTTCCACACACTCTTCCCTCTACCTCTAGATATTCAGCAGCCTTCCATCCAGTGAAATCCCACACATCCTTCTAGACTCTTCTTGAATGTCACTTCCTGAGAAAAAGGATTCTCTGACGCCACCCCACAAACCAAACGAGCTCTTCCCATTTGTTCCGTGTCTTTCCCTGCTCGTGTTGGTCACGTTTGTATTTGATTCACAGAGCTCAATCATACCTCTGTCTGTCTCCTGATACAGCAGGGTCCATACTTCATCTCAGCTGCCTCCCCAGGGTCCACACCCCCAGGGACTGTTTGTTAGCCTCTTCATTGGGTTGATGATGGACAGGGCTAATGGCACGCTGCTGAGACTGTAAAGTCTTTAGGAGGTAAAAAGCCACAGCATGAAACCAGAGCCCCTAGTTCTGTCTAGAACAGAGGAAGAAGGGGGCTTTCTGTGATCCCTTGGCCCCCCTGTTGGGAAAGCTTAAGAAAGAATGCCCACAGAGAGGAGCAGAAGGTGAGGTACAAGCAGGCCTGGAAGTGAGCACACCGTTTCACCATCTCTGAGTGTGACGTGGCAGGTACTTGGGTTGGAGCATTCAGCTAGGTTGATGCACTGAGGGATTAGAGGATGAAATCTCATGTAGGGGCTGGAGAGATGGCTCAGTGGTTAAGAGCACTGGCTGCTCCTGTAGAGGACCTGGGTTCAGTTCCCAGTGCCCACATGGTGCCTAACAACCATCTGTAACTCCAGTTCTAAGGGATCTGACGCCCTCTTCCGAACACTGCAGGCACTGCATGACACAGGTGCATTTATATACATTCAGGCAATACACTCATACATGTAAAATAAGAATAAATAAAATATTAAAAAATAAATAAAACCTCATGGAGTGTCTGCTAAAAGCCCAGATGGTGAAATGACATGCTACTTTCTAGAACTGTTTTGTTTTGAAACTTGGTAGCTCAGGCTAAACTTGAACTCCTGATCCTCCTGTCTCCACCTCCTGAGTACTGGGATTACAGGAGTGCACACACCTGGAAAGTTGTATTTCCAAGAGATTCATAGTTTTAACCTCTTTTAAAAATAACTTTTATTAAATATTTTTGGATTCTTGAAACTTTGTGCGTTATGAGTGTATTGCCTGCATGCCTGCAAGTGTACCCACGTGTGCAGTGCCTGTGAAGGCCATAAGAAGGCATTGGATCCTCTGGAACTGGAGCTACAGCTGACTGTTAGCCACCATATAGGTGCTGGGAACAGAATCTAGGTCCTCTGTGAGAGTAGCCAGTGCTCTTAACTGCCTAGCCATCTCTCCAGTCTAATAATTTTACCTCTTTGAAAGTTACTTTTTAGTAACTGCAGTACTCAGGAGTCACCCTGGGCTATGCTGTGAGTTCCAGACCCTCTTGGAGAAAGGAAGAAAGGAGAAAATTATGATTTATCTGCCTCCTTCGGGAAGGAAAAGCAGAGCACAGTCTCCACTCCTCTTTACAATGCAGTGAAATGCATTCGAATAGCTTTTGAAGGGAAGGCCAGTCATCAAGGCTTGTGGCGGGTCTGGTTCACCTCAGTGTCAAGGAGCAGCACCTGAAGGGCGGTTGCCCCACCTGACCAGGCGGCAGTGGCTTCATGCAGGGTCTGTGTCTCCAGAGAATAATGGACCATTAGGATCACCCATGCCAGGAAAGGCCTCCCCATGGAACACTCACAGTTGTGTCCGATGGACAGCAGCTGCTTCATTCCTGAGACGTGCTGACCGCCTGCTGCCCAGGGACAGCAGGCCTCAACTTTGAAAGCAAAGGGAACCCCTAAATATGCCTCAGCACGAATCCCTTCTGTATGGCAGTTCGTTATAAACACCAGGGCATGTCTCTGGACACCGCAAGCAGTTATTGTTTCCTAATTAATTAATCAATTAATTTTTTTCAGTGCTGGAGAGTGAACTCAGGGACTCAGGCAGGGTAGGGAAGCACCAAACAAAACTGTCACCCACGTCTACAATTTTTAATCACAAAGACTATCAAAGTTTGTTACACAAGAATGAAGCAAGCCGTCTGTGGTGGCATATGCCTATAATCTCAGCCCTTGGGAGGTGAAAGCAGATCGATCACGAGTTCAAGGTTCTCCTGGGCTATAGGAGATCTTGTCTCAAAAAGCCAAAACAGGCCGGGCATGGTGGTACAGGCCTTTAATCCCAGCACTTGGGAGGCAGAGGCAGGTGGATCTCTGTGAGTTCAAGGCCAGCCTGGTCTACATAGTGAGTTCTAGGACAGCTGGGGCTACAAGAAGATCCTGTCTCAAAAAGACCAAAAAAAAAAAAAGCAAAACAAAACAGCAACAATAATAACAAAACCAGAAGAATGCAACACGTGGGAATTCTTGGTGGCAAACAGTAGGGAACAGGGCCCTATGCTATATCACAAACTCCCAGAAGCCTCAGACATGGGCTATCTAGCCCCCATTTTAGAAAGGGAGGGCCAGAGAGATCTAACGACCTGTCCAAGGCTGTTTGGACTTTGGCGGGTCTTCACTTCTGTTCTTCCCCCTTCCCCACCACAGTCTGTCCTCAGACCCCAGACCAAACGGCATTCCAGAGGCACACAATGGAACCTATCAGATTCTGTATTGAGATCACAACCTAAGCATCTGGGCGGGGGTGGCTTTGAGGCCCCGGTGTTCAGCCTTCAAACCTGCCATTCCTGCCCCTATTGATGTCCCTCCAGCCACATTGTTTCTTGAGTTTTTCATAATGCTCCCACTAGGGACCTTCCCCTCACTGTTCCTTCTGCCCAGGACACTCATGCACCAGGTCTTTGCATGGATGGCTCCTAGCTCAGGCTTCCCCTCTGCAGAGGCTTCCTCCCTCCATGCAAAGCTGGGGTCCCAGGTGAAGGTCCTTTGTGCAGGCTGGAGGAGGAGGAGCCCAGTGGGTGCGAGGCACTGCGGGTTTGTCAAGCAGAGGGAGCAGACATGGAGGCAGGCCCAGGGGCGGCAGCAGTAAGCCTTCACTGTGCACCCAGGATCCTGGCACTGTGCTCAGCTCTCCACACATAACAGATGGAAGCAGTTGACAGCCACGGCCAAGAAACTCAACAACTAGTTCAATGGTGGCTGAGGCCAAATCACAAGCTATTCTTTAATAGGGTGTTAATTTGGAAACATTGGCACAGATATTTAAGTGACAATGTAGGACATATGTTTATCTTTTTGTTCCTCGTGGGCACACAGGGAATTAGAGTCTCAGTATGAAGAAGAGATATTCTTGTTTTGTGATGAAAAATATATTATGTGGGGGGGGGCGTTCACACGCACTATAGCATGCATGTAGCGGTCAGGGGACAACTTGCAGGAGTCAGTTCTCTCTTTCCACCATGTGGGTCCCAGGCATCAAATCCAGGTTGTCAGGCTTGATGGCAGGTGCCTTTACCCACTGAGCCTTCTCTCCAGCCCCAAGATGTTCTTTTCTGTTTTCACTTTTGTGTTTTTGAGACAGAATCTCATGTAGCCCAAGCTGGTCTCAAATTCCCTATTTAGTTGAGGATGACTTTGAACCTCTGATCCTCCTGTCTCCACCTCCAAGTGCTGGGATTACAGACATGTGCCACCACGCCCAGCTTAGAACAAACACGTGGAACCAGGCAGCCTGCTTCCTCCAACTCTCCCATTCACATTCCACATGCCCCTCACACCCTTGTTCTAGCTGTCACGTTTCTCTTTCTCTTCTGAGATGCCCTCTCCCTACCCCTTTTTCGGCTAATTCCTCCTCACCCCCCAGATAGACGTTTCCAGGGCCACTTTTGCACATGCCCATTTTCATACAGCAGCCAGGAAAGGGAAGAGAAATGAACAAGCATTTGGAAGGCAGAAGGGGATGGGCTTAGGGCCACAGAGGCCAAGAACAGGAGCAGGGAGCCTTCTGCACCTGCCACAGTTAGTGTGCAAACTACTCAGCTGGCAGAGGAAAGCTGGTCTTGGCCACAGCAGGAGACAACAGGGAAGTCATTCATTCATTCATTCATTCATTCATCCATTCATTCACCAAGAAATACAAACATAGAGAACCGCCAGCTGCAAGGAGCTCTGCTGGAGACACTGTGGTGAACAACACACTTCCTGTGATGTCTTCTCCTGGAGGAGGCCGTCTCCAATCCAGCCTCCATGGAAGTAAACACAGGGTCCATAGAAGTAAACATGGGGTTCACAGAACTGAACATGGGGTTCAGAGAACTGATCATGGGGTTTACGGAGTAAGCACAGGACTTCTACTTCCCTTGAGTGTGATGGAAAGATAACACGGAAGTTATAGGAAGCCATGTGTGCAGTTGGGAAGTTGTGATGGGAGAGGACTCGGGGAAGGTTTCCCTTTGACAGTGGCCCTGGAAAGTTCTAACGTGGGGTGAGGAGGAGTTAGATGAAGAAGGTGAAAGGGCTTGTCAGCAGAGGAAGAGAAATGTGTTAGACGGAGGCAAGGCTGTGAGGGGTTGGGGTTGGTGAATTCGGATGTTGTAGGAACCAGAAAGTGAGCAGGCTGCTTGGATGGCCACACACAAGGGTCAGGGTGTTGATTTTTGCCATGGGTGCTATTTATACTTTGTCACTAGGTGGAAAGTGGATTGCACAGAGCCAGGCACATGAGAAGGAGGCTAACGAAAGCCCCCTGTGTAGGTGGGTGGGGACCAGCCTTGGATGTGGGCAGGGTCTACTTTGCCAGGGCTCCAGGCTGGAGAGGGGCTGGGACAGTGCTGTGTCTGCCAGGGAAGCACCTTGGAGGAAGGCAGGAGTGTCACCAGCAGAGAGGGAGGAGGCACAGGCTACCCAGCGACCCTGAAAGTACCAAGACTGACAGGCCCACATGTCTCCTGAAGAGCTGACAGGTCTGCAACTTCTGAAGGAGGCGTGAGGAGCCATGACAGTTGTTCCAAGCTGTAAAGACCAGCTAGGAGGCGTCCAGCCACATAGCTCCCTGAACTGAGGCCAGGAATCCCCTCTGCAGGCT